ACCTCGCTCCCCCAAGGCGCATGGAAAGGTCAAAGTCGGTAGAAAAAAACCTCCATCCTCCTACACTCCAAACAAACAGATTTTTTTTCTTTTTTAAGGATAGCACAGGCTCTATTGCTTTTCTGTAACAGAAAAATAGGGTAGGGAAGGCATTTACTAAGCAGTCAATTACACAACTGAGTTATTCATTATGGAACTAAAAAAAATCCTGTTACTAAGTACATTCTCTTTCAGTTTCACAAAAGAGCTTTACCAACCGTAGTTAAAAAGCAAGCTTTCCTCCCAAGTGCAGAAATGCTTCTACCAAGCTAGCAGAAATAAACAGATATACTAAAACAAAGAAAAAAAACCCAGACCTGGCGCATTTCCACCTAGCACTTCAAAATTTTTCTTTATGCGAAAACGTTCTTGACGTGAATTTCTCTCAAATTTAAAGGATTTTAAAAGTGAGAACTTCAAAGAAATCCTCAGAGTGACCAGGTAATCCTGAAAGCGACTGCCCAACCAAGTGCACGTGATGCTACAGGGATGGATGTTACTTCATTCCGTACTTAGGGAAAGTGCTGAATGTCTTCCATGCTTTGCCTGACCGATGCTTGGACTGCTCCAGAAGATACAAAAGTAGTCTTAAAACCTACCATCCTTTTTCTGCTGAAATACCAGGCAACATGGGGATACTGCTCTATGGGAAGTAAGTGAACAATATATACCTTTTGAATAGGAAGTATAGTTCTTGGGAAGTAAGTCGCCAAGTTCTACACAGAAAAATAAGCACCTGCTGAATCTGGCAATTCACGTAGGAGTTTGAGAGCATTTGACTTTCCATGAGCCACAGAGGCAGAACAGAGATTGCTACAGCTAAATATCTGCAGGGTTTCAGTTGGCTTTGCATGCTCCAGATTCAGTGCGAGCTTGGAATGGCTCGTTTTGACCTTTTGTCAAAGAAATATTAACATAAAGAGTGGGGGTTTGGCTGTCGTTTCAGCCTTCTAAGTTGGCCGACGAAGTTACTATAAATCTTAAACCTCATCACTTAGATCTTTTTCTGCAAGGATGATTTCACTGCACAAATCAATAAAGTTACTTCAATGCAGCCAAGTACATGTGATGTTTCCATCAGAGGCTTCACAAACTCATCTAGTTCTTTCATTTTAGTAAAAAATAATCTCCAATTCACACAAGTATTTCTCCTTCTGGCCTTTTTTGTCACGACATCCAAATACTTGATGTGTGTCCCCATCAAACCACGTCTCTCTCCAAGAAACTCCTCCCAAGCAAACTTTCCATGAATGCAATCATCAAAGAACAATTAAATATGAAGAGGCATAAAGAAGCAGGGCTTTTAGTGAAGTTCTAACAGTCAAAGCGGGTGCTGAATTAAACCTAGAGCAAAGACAAATGCACAATACAATGGCTCAACAACTGGTTTTTATCTTCCTGTCCTTGTCCTGACTAAAAGCCCCCAGATCCATGGTCTATTTGAGAAGAAATGTACTTAAACGCAACCTGCTTTTCTACTTCACCCACATCATCAGCATTTTATGGCCAACTTCAAGGTGTAGGCAGTGTATTTACACAAAACAATAAATTCAAATAGCAATGGTACGTCAGGGAATTTCTTTCTTTTGATCACAAGTGCATTTCTTTGCAGTTTCTGGTTACTACCGATTTGGAAAGCAAGCATGATATACAGCGGATTACATGCTCCGTATTGTTTTCCTCATGAAGCTCACACATTTTTAATGCCAGGGTAAAGTCACTAAAAAAACCAGGAATATTTAATTGCTTTTAGTTTTCCTGGCAAACCAGCAGGAAAAGAGACTTTGGGCCCTCTCAGAAAACATGCCTCTCAGCTGCAAAAGTCACCACATTTTCACAGGTGCTGGGGCATTCCTCATAAATGGGGAGTTAAAGATGGCATAAAACTCACCCAGAAATTTGTGGTGACATCGAACTGCTGAAACACAATAAGTAAGAACTTCTGGTTTTAGTAAAGAAGCCCCTTTCACTGCAATTTTATGCCCCTTTCACTACAATTTTATGCCCCTTTCGCTCATTTCAGCTGTTACGCGCGCACACATCCTGTGAGAGA